CGGGCAGTCGTGAAACTCACCTGAATCAGAGTTCCGCGTATTGCGTCCAAGAGCGTCCTGCTGTTTTTTTTGTGAATGTTTTCGACTATCTTCTGAGAAACACTCATCTCTGGAGCTCTTCTGAGAACCGTTTTTCGAACACCAATGTGCATCCTGCTGTCCTTCATCACTACGGCGAAAAAAGGAGCGCTCTGCTCCAGTCATGCGCGAGTTCTTCACAATTATCGGCATTTCCGCCGTCCCTCCGTTGAGGCTGCATAAATCTTCACATTAGACAAGGTTAATAACAATGACCCCTGAGAGTAGTATTCGGAACCAAAATGCAAATTACTTTTCGTCCAATCAAATGCAATAATAACTGCAACGCGAGGCCACAACATTACTGAAGGGTTTGCACGAGGAATTCAAAAAAGTAGGACAGCGGCTGCCCTGAGTAAACTCAGTTTACAAGAAAGAGAAAAAAGAAGCTTAAAGCGGGTATTTCACTCACTTATCAATTAAGAATTATTAAGATGCAAAATCTGCTTGGTCACGTTTATTAAAATCTACATAAATACATGTATAAACCTTCCTGACAGTCCAAAATTTACATAGGGGTAATTTAAATGACAGTCCGCGAGGCGCATGATAACGTTCAGCCGATATAACGTTCAAAAGCGTCAATTCCATGAGGAACAGGAGGAAAAGTCTTACGAAAGACCTTGCCACGGTCTCCAGCGCTACTCCTTTCTCATCCAGGCCTGGGACCGAAAACAGCTAAGTTAATACAACGAGGATGTTCTAAATTTAAACATGCATATCAGATGTTACTCACCCCTCTTTAATAAATCACAACTGCAATAGTTTAAACATTAAGTAGAACAAGACGTGAGTTTAAAAAGCCTTTATGATAGCAGTTATCAGGCTAAATGGTTTTAGTGCAATACAATGAATCCTTGACTTCGGAGTGAATCAACTCAGTTTTCCAATACGAGCCGTCGTTCGGTCGATTTTTTGCTTTATTATACGAGCCGAGATCTGAATTACGATCTAGCGAGCGAGCTTACGCCACCCGCTATCAGCGAGCGTTCATTTCACGTGGTTATATTGTCGTGTGAGCATCTTTGTCGTATTGCTATTGCTCTGTTTTCCCATTTCGTTTATTTTAGAAAATTTCTTGGTTTTAACCATGGGCCCTACGAATGTAAATGCCAGTATAAGTGTTGAGAAGAAGAACAGGACGATAACCTTGGATATTAAGCACGAAATCATCGAAAAACATAAGCGAGGTGACGATCTGGTAAGGCAGTACTATGGTGTACTTCTACAATATGTACGACTTTGAAACAGGAGTCGATAAAGGCTATAAATTGAAGCATTAAGTGTGTAGCAAGTTAAGCCATAGAGCATGAAATGAAAAACTTCCCGAACCTCCTCCACCCTCGCTAGCATCTTGAAGGTAAATATAATTAATAAATCCAGTTTATTTCTTTACATTCTTTTTTATATTACTTATTATACATTACTTATTTATAAAGTACATTTTTCTTATTTAACAACAAGTAACAGAAACAATTG